ATGCCGGCCATTCCCCAGAGCGACAGACGCCTCGAAGATGCTAAAGCGCTCCTTTCTCCGGTCTTTCCCTTCCGAGAATGTCAAGCAAATCAATTAAGCGTCGAAGCCTCTTGGGTCTTGGGAAAAGAATACGTATATATGGTGAGAATATCAACAAAAAATATATAGAGTGAAAAGAGGCGTGCCGTAGGACCTCGGCTGTCTGTGGGAGGCGCGAGGGATGGCCATTGTCGGCCAGGGGTGACGACCTATGAAAGCCGCTTCCAAGAATCTTCGCCGGAGTCGCTCTCGCTCTCTCGCTCTCTCTGTCTCTCTCTCTCTCTGTTTCACTGTCTTTCTCCGTCTCCGTCTGTCTGCCTGTCTGCTTATCTGTATATCTGTCTCTCTCCATTCCTGCCATCCCTCATCTCTCTCCCTCTCTTTCATTCTATCTTCCTCTCCCTCTCTCACTTTCTCTTCCTCTTCCCTCTTTCTCTCCTTTCCTTCCCCCCTCCCCCTCTCTCTCCATTCCTGCCATCCCTCCTCTCTCTCCCTTCCTCCCCCTCCCTCTCTCTTTCTCTCTCTCCCTCTCCCCCTCTTTCATTCTCTCTTCCTCTCCCTCTCTCTCACTTTCTCTTCCTCTCTCTCTCTCTCTCTCACTTTCTCTTCCTCTCCCTCTCTCTCACTTTCCTTACTTTCCCCTCCCCCCTCTCTCTCCATTCCTTCCCCCCCCCTCTCTCTCACACATCCTCTCCCCTTTCCCTCTCTCCCTTCCCCGCCTCCCCCCCTCTCCCTCTCTCTCTCTCATGCACTTCATTCTAAGGCGATTGTGATTATGCAAGAAAATTTTCCATAAAGCTAGCGTCTAGATGATATATTACACAATTAAGAGATCACTTCACCTTTCTCGCATATTTAGACTAAAAAAAAAAAGTTTCCATCTCTCGATCTTATTTTTATCTTTCATTTTTTTTGGGGGGGGAGGGGGAGGGGGGAGTGGGCGTGTGTGATTTAGCAATGATTTGCTATTTGCTATTTGCTCAACTCCTTAATCAAAGTTCATGTAAAAGGATAAATGATGGCGTTTTGCATTACCTATTTCATTAATGACTATGGAATGTCCCTTTCGTCTATGTCTACCCGCCGTCGTCTCCACTGCCATCGTCTCATTTGGATGACAGCAGCTGATAAGAGCCCGAAGAGGAAGACAGAGAGAGGGAAGGGAGACAATAAGAGAGAGAGAGAGAGAGCTTGAAAGCCGACAATAAAGTGAGCTCGACACACAACCTGACACACAGTTGTATCTCACGCTCGATACTTTCTTATAAAGAGCAGTCTGAAGCTGGGGGCAGAGGAGAAATTTCGTTCGAGCGCCGGTTTCGGGCTACTCTTCAGCCTGGCTTCGCGTCCTATGACACACAAGTTAGATAGTTACGGTCTTTGTTCTTGAAGTCCCTAGAGTAGGCGCGCCGTAGCGTGGTGGCCTAGCTCATGGTTTTATAATTCTCAGACAACTGAACTATATATTAAATTGCGGTCTGGTTGACTGCATTCGAATATCATGGTTCAGGGAAGAAAAAAAAGAAAAAAAAAATCTAGTATCTGTTTTGGGTTTATTCATGGGAGTATTTTTACCCCCTAAGACCACAGTTTAATTAGTCATTAGACTACTTTACTCCTGAAGTCCTTGAAGCACACACGCTCCTGAAGTGGTGCTCATGTTCGTGCATGATCTGTGTCATGAATTTTCCTTCTCATGTTCGACTGTCCCCGTTCCCGTTCTCCTCGTTCATGTGTAGTTGCTCCAAGTGGTAGGCCTCGGACTATGTTTACGACGTGTTTACGACGTGTTTACGACATTAACGTTCATTCTGAAACTTATTGGCATACGGCTTATCGGTTTGCCAGTTAATCTTTTACAACAATAAGTATTCTTTCAGCGAGCGCCGCCAATGATGAGACGTCGTGTGCGTGTGTTCGAGTGACCAATACAACGCAGCCGCTTTAGGCATGGGAGATCGTTCATTCCTAGAGCTCATCCACTGTCTGACGATCCGTTTTCCATGATACGATAATTGAGTGGCTGACAAATATCAAAACTTTGTGAAAGCATCCGTGCAATCAGAGCGCTTAAAATCACGAGTTGGCTCTTATTGCAATCAAAATATTACAATAATGTCAGCACCTACTCTTTATAGGAATGAAATCGGAAGCCTCTATTAATATCACCAAAAATAACCAACAACATCCATCTATTATAATGTAAGTTATTATCATCATATCTATAATATCTCAATTTCAATAACTGGATATACATTCAGGTGACCCTTATACGCGGGGAGGAAGAATCAAAATAGCACTATACATATACACCGTAGGAACGTAGCAACGCCGCTGCCGAACTACTCGCTCACACCATCCACATCCACGAATCCAAAGGCCAGCAGGAAAGCCATCCGCCCTACGCTCCTCCGGGACTGGGTTCCAGCTCCATGCCCCGCCAAAGGCCCTCTTGGAATGC